GAGTTAAAAAGTGTGTTTCGTTTAAAAAATTTCAAGAACAAAAGCAAAACGAAATGCGGAAAAAGTTGAGACTGGCATTAGAAGAGAAAAAATCATCATGCAACAGCGATTAAAAAAATCTTCCTTATATTATTTGTTTTGCATACGTGGCATACTTAATTTAATGAATTTTCATTAACATTACATAATTTATTTCTTTTTCCTTAAAATCAATTCCGTTATATTTCACTCGCCATTAGCTTATTTTGTTTATTATAAAACATTGAAAATAGATGTTAAACCTGATTTCTGTTCTTTTATCTTAATCTAAATATAATTCCTCATATCCGGAGTTTGTAACCAATTCCTCATATCCGGAAGGCCTTCTTAGTCCGGTTGTTAGGGATTCTACTGTATATAATACATCATCTGATTCATAATAGTTTAAATTGACGTTTCATACACTATTATAGGACAATGTTCATTTACAATATTCTTTCCAACCTCTGTCCCATAATATTTGATACATATACATAAACATTTCATACACTATGTATAACAACTGTTATGGGACATATTTGGATATCTCGTATGCTTAACCTATTCTTACTAATCCACTGGGTTCGTTTTTTTTAATCGTTTTCACCCCAAGCAAGGTACTAAAGCCACTAAGACACACAGAGTTACTAGGTGTTGAAGTCAGGAGCGAGGAGAAAAGAATAGTAATGAGGAAGACAGTAGATAGCGATTGACATTGTATTTAAATTTTTGAAGATTAAATTTGATTTAAAAGCCGCAAGGGAGTTCCACAAGCGAGAAGTGCGATAAAAGAAACTGTAAATTGATGAGACCTTGTTTCTAGTCTAGTAATGAGGTTAAATTCATAAAGTCTAGCTACCGTAGCAAACAAATCATACAAATAATTGCCATGAAAGTATTTGTTGAAAAGGCACAGGGAGGCAACTTTACTGTGGTGAAAATGTGACTGAAATCGAGATGCCAGATCAGAACTTATAATATCACGGATTCTTTTTTGATTTAATCAAGGATCTCTACATATATAGCAGGAGCATCGAACCATATGTGACAGCAATATTCTAAGCATGGACGAATGGTAGACTTATAGATACGCAAGATAGATTTAGGAGAAAAAATTATCTAGCACGAGAGTGAACCAACTATCTTAGCAGCTGACCTAGGAATAGATGCAATATAGTCTTTCCACTTCATGTCAGCTGAGAGTGTTAGCACAAGAAAGCGCAACGAATCACTTTCTTGGAGGTTAGCATCAGCCATGCCGTTGGAAGGTAGCGAGAGGACACTCAGGCGATTCTCTGTCTGTGGCCTTGTAAGCATGATGCTGTAAGTGGGTTATCAAAACAGCAGTAGAAAACCGGAATATTTAACCCTGAATGACTAACAGTTTTCAGCAAAGTTTACTGCTCCTCCTGATACTCCTCTTGATGTCGGAATATTTTTATGTTTTTCGCCCGACGGCCAAGTCCAAGCTTGATGGGAAATATCATCTCCTATCTTTGCCACTGCCTTAACCAGGTATTGAACTCGCACTCTTTGGGTCCTGTCACTGGATCTAACACCTTTATCCACTGTATTATGTGTCCTTGAGGACATCTGTATATGAATTTCTGTGACTTATAAACCTAATGTCTTCAGCAACCATTTTTACCAGTGCTCATATTACAATTTTTGCTATTATCATTGTATTTTTTTTTACCGGAACTCATATTGCAATTTTTTTGTTGTTATTATTGCTTTTCTCTGGCACTCATTATTGGTTTTCATATTGTATTCATTTTTATGCTTGGTCGGCTCAGGAGATTTTTGTGGTCTAGCATATGGGCTGATTCCTTAAGTTTACGAATTTTCCAATGATGTTCTTTGTCTATGATTTCAACCTTATCCCAAAGAGTCGTCCAGCTTTTAAATGCTGTCCTGATGTTAAAGTAAGGCTTCAAGAACACCAAAAAGCTGTGATACGAGAGGAAGTGGAAAAATCAGGCGTGGCTGACTACTGTGACATATATCTTCAAGGACACATGGCACAGTGGATAAAGGCGTTAGATCCAGTGACAGGACTCAAAGAGTGTGAATTCTCGCTCTCCGGGGTAGACTGTTCTAGTTCCGCGTGCCATGTGTAATGGATGTCATTTATCAGTTATCTCCTGTTAATTCCCCTCTCCAAGTTCTCTGTGTTCATCCTTGAGGACACATGGCACAGTGGATAAAGGCATTGATTAGATCCAGTGACAGGACCCAAAGAGTGTGAGTTCAATATCTGTTTAAGGCAGTGGAGAAGTTGTCTGGGCATCCTCTCTTCCCGGAGGCAGAGAGTTTGACCAGCACAGATGGAGACGAATGTCCAACTGCAGGATATCTACCAACCTCCCCACGCGATCAGATGTGGTACAAGGTCGATTTTAATGTGGGGTAGCCGAGCCCGTCGGCTCGGCCAAAAATTCCCCGTACATCCCGTCTAAAACGGGGTCGGGTAGCTGCTTGCCAAAACGAGAATCTCCCCTTCGACATAGCCTCGTCTGGGAATGTTCTCTGTCCGGAGGCGGAGACTTTGACCATCACAGGTGGAGACGAATATCCGACCGCAGACCAACATACAGTATTTACTACTGTATTTGTCCGTAGGTATGATACAACAGTTAGCATGACCTGTATGAATAAATCATTATTCATAATGTACTTGGGTGAAAGCTCATAAAACCAGATCCAAGGCTATCTCATTCCTTGGGTGAATCTTTCCCTGAGTGACAATGTCTTCAGGGTTGAAGACGCACTCACCACGCTTGGCCAACTGCGGTTATTTAACCTAGAGTCGGAAGTTTTGAATTCAGAGTGGTCATTCTCTTAGACTAGTCCACACACAAGGCTATAGGACCCAGTTTGCCTTGCTATTTAACCCATAGCTGGGTGGAAAAGAGATGAATTCATACCAAGGGTATTTCCACGTAGGGGAATGTAATGAATTCGACTGGAATTTGAACTCAGTTACCCGTTTCCTAGCCACGGAGAACTTGGAGAGGGGAATTAACACGAGATAACTGATAAATGACATCCATTACACATGGCACGCGGAACTAGAACAGTCTACCCCAGAGAGCGAGAATTCACACTCTTTGGGTCCTGTCACTGTATCTAACGCTTTTATCCACTGGTGCCATGTGTCCTTGAAGATATATGACACAGTAGTCAGCCACCCCAGAAAAGTCATTAGTATCCCCCGAAAATTCTAACCATATAAAATTATGTTCTGGCATTAATTAACCTGCAAAGGGTTGATAAACCGTAAAAAATTAATCAATCCTACATCAACACCAAAAGACGTACACGAAAAAGCACGTTTAATAAAATTGGATTTTCATATGTTTACACATCATTTTAACTAATTTTCACAAACACAATATTCTCCTTTAAGGACGTGGAAAACAATGGCCCTCCACAGCATTCTATCTTTCTTAGTTCTAAACAATGTTTGTCCCCTTAATATACCCCAGCTCATCTGACATTCATTTACATAAACTTGTGAGATAGTTTGGCCGTGGCTCTCCACAACTTCCTATCTTAGCTGTAAGTACTGATTGTCCCATTACTATTCCTCCCAGGCCCTGATGTAGCATCCATTTAGACAAGTTCGTCAAGTAAGTTGGTCACAGCTCTCCACTACTTCCTATCCTTAATAGCTCTAAGCAATATTTAAACAAGCTCAATAGGCAGGTTACTCGCTGTTTCCCTGTTGGCTTCAAATTGACCTGGGAGTAACAAATTCTCTAAACCCTTAAATTCAACTACCTCTTTCTGATATATGAGGTATAAGGGTCCTTTTTGTTTCCATTTTTCGTAAAACACTCGCTGCTCCCAGGTTCAGTCCATGGCATTCTCAGCATCCTTCTGTTGAACCATATTTCTGTCGTTTCAAATCTTCTATTCATCTGTGAGGAAATTATCCACTTTTCACAGCCATCTAGGCGGACTGATATTACTCAGCAATTTAGTAAAGTTAAATAGATAAATTAATCACACAGAAACGTAGACAAAACAGACGTAAATTACTTTTGGTTTTATTTATTTATAAATATTAAAATCAAAACAAACTCACACTTCTATTCGCTCTGTGGTTCTTGAATACGCATGCGCAGATGAATAATGCCAAAGCCCTGGACAGAAACCCCCATGTACAGAGATACTTATACAAAAAGAACGAGTTATTCGGCCCCAAATACATCTATTTTTTTTTTTTTGCCTTTCAAAATATTTGAATATTTTTTTCTGGCAGATGTACTTACACACGCACAGGTTCAGTAGCCTTTATTTCTCCAGGTTTCTATATGATGCAGACGTCAACCCAGGCAAAATCTATAGATTTCCAACACACACACACAGAGAGAGAGAGAGAGAGAGAGAGAGAGAGAGAGAGAGAGAGAGAGATCCCAAAATCTACTCAATAAATTCTTCTTGGCTTAGTATTTATCGATCCACCCACGAGAACCGAATATGGCACAAGGCCGGTTTAATGTAGGTATCCCCGAGCACGTAGGCTCGGCCAAAAATATAGCCTTTGAACCCGCCTAGACGGGTTTCAGGCCCAGTTACCTCCCGGACGAAACCTTGCCCTTCGGCAAATCTTCGTCCGGGTTCCTCTGCGTTAACAGAGGTTCGACGAACGTCGCTTACAGTCAAAGACTGTATCACGACTCGACTTAGAGGTCTTACCCTTTCGGTCTATCTGTCTTAGTATTTATCGATCCACCCACGAGGATTGAATATGGCACAAGGCCGGTTTAATGTGGGTATCTCCGAGCCAGTAGGTTCGGCCAGAAATATAGCCTTTGAACGCGCCTAGACGGGTTCAGGCCCTGTCTACCTCCCCGGACGAAACCTTGCCCTTCGGCAAGGGCTTCGACCGGGGTTCCTCTCTGCTAATGCAGAGAGTTCGACAGACGCCGACTCGGAAGCTCACAAAGGCAGCGTACTACACTTTGATCCTAGCCTCCGGCCATATCACTGTGAAACACCGGTTCTCATTAAATTTAAGTTAAGCAACGTTGAACCTAGTCAGTACCTAGATGGGTGACCGCTTGGGAATACCAGGTGCTGTAAGCTTGGGTGCGGGTGGTGTAATGAATAGGAATTCGGAAAATCTCAGAGACGAGTTCGAATTCAAGTTGGGACACATTTACTTATACGTAAATACAGTGCTAAAGATATGGCTCCACCTCTTTTACCTCCAGCTATGAGTAAAATGATAAGACTTGTGACTGGAAATCATTATCTGCAAAAAAAAAAAAAAAAAAAAAATGTTAAAACAAGATTCACCCACAAAAATGATTCTAGCAATCAAAAACTTCAAATTATTGAAACCGAATCATATTTTGAATTGCTACAATATATATATATATATATATATATATATATATATATATATATATATATCCGAAAACATTCATATTTCTCTCACTTAAACCTCTTCCACTCACCTCTCGTAAACTCCTCTCTGTTAAGGTTTAATCTCCCTCTTTCTCTCGTCTGTTACCCCTCTCTTTAGCTCTAAGATTCGTCCCACACTCTCATACTTACACGCTCTCTAAATCTTATTTTTTATTTCCGGAGTTGTTTTTTTTTTGTTTTCTTTTTGAATTTGTAGGTTTGATGAATTGGATCGTATTTACGATTCCAATGGAATAAATTAGTGTTTAAGCCTTTTTATTACACACACACACACATATATATATATATATATATATGTATAAGTATATATATATATGCCTATTTTTGTAGTGATTTTATAACATTTATGTTATAATTTTTTTTTATAAATAATAATTATATATATATATATATATATATATATATATATGAATAGATAGGTTGGTTAATGAAACAAGGGAAAACAAAAAGGTACCAATGTTATCAGTGCGAAAAGAATTTATTATATATTAATTGTTAATCACAAGACAAAAATGAAGCACGGAGATTAATGTTAGTATTCCGGAAACATGTATTTCGGACCTCTAAACACACACACACACACACACACACACACACACACATATATATATATATATATAAACAGATTGATAACCCGTAAGAAACAAATCAGTCAGTCTTCTTCCATGTGCTTTGTCCCTGCTGGACGTAGGCGAGCGTAGACTCGTTTAAACCTTTGAAACCTGCTTCCCTGAACGAGTTTAAGCCTTCAAGTCAAAATTCGCAAATAATTGGTATATAATGTTTTACGGTAGATATAAAAATAGTCACAAGTGTTTACCCACCGTTAAACCGGTGTCTGGGCATTAAGTCATATTTCTCTACCACTGTTCAACCGGTGGCTCGGCATTACGGCATATATAACCGGTAAAGCGGTGGTCAGGGCTTAAAGGGTTGAGAAAAAAAAAAAAAAAGAAAACAGAGAAGCGACAGTATTTGACAAAGATTAACACTATGATTTCTGCACTTGGGGAGTCTTGAGCTCTGCGATCCTGAAGAATTTTAACTCTTCTGCCTGAGCTCCTGAGTCAAAATTTGCAAATAATTGGTATGTAATGTTTCACGGTAGATATACAAATAGTTACAAGTGTTTACCTATCGTTCAACCGGTGGCTGGGCATTAAGTCATATTTCTCTACCACCGTTCAACCGGTGTCTGGGCATTAAGTCATATTTCTCTACCACCGTTCAACCGGTGTCTGGGCATTAAGTCATATTTCTATACCACCGTTCAACCGGTGTCTGCGCATTAAAGCATTTTTCTCTACCAGCGGTAAAGCGGTGGTTAGGCCTCAAAGATGTTCTACGGAATGCGTAAATGGTCAGTGCCAATCTCTTCACATTTATGCTTTCATATATACGCACGGTTAGTCTAGGAAGAGATTAGATTGGGGCACTGACTTTGAATGTCAACCATCACCTCAATAAACTTAAGATGCACTTAAAAATAGAACATACGTTAATATTTATTCAATTATTACAATGTCCAGCCTCAAACATAAACAACAACGAACCTAGTGATGAGGGAATTAAGAAAGCTATTAAATAAAAAATAAAAAAACTAAGGAAGAATAAAATATCTGTAAATAGTGAAGCTGAATATTTGAAAATGGCGTACTTTCTTCCCGAATTCAATAACAAGTTTCTCTATTTAAGAAGGAAGGGTGGAATGAGAAATATCATCCCCCAAAAGTGGAGTTTATGCCGTATTAATGGACTATGGAAACAGACTCTCAGACATACAGAGGTATCCATCATGATAAAAATATTAATGAAGATTATATCAAATATTTTCTGAAAGGCAACTTCTCACAACTCTGTTTGGTTTTCGTTCTGGTAGGTGAAGCATTGATGGAATATATAACGTCAAACAACTCCAAGTAATGGCTTAGCTCTCTAATAGGAAACTATACTTGTTTTGCCGACCTCCCAGCACCATATGACCACATCAATTAGAGTTCCACTTTTCATCCGTTAGAAACCAAACCCCGAATCCAGTGAATACATCCATATAATAAAGAAATTGTATTAGTCTACATGTTCCCCAATATGAAAACCCGTCCTGAGTATGACGATAAACTACATCCGCGTCCAGGGTAAGGCTATAAACTACATCCGCCTCCAGGGTAAGACTATAAACTACATCCGCGTCCAGGGTAAGACGATAAACTACATCCGAGTCCTGGGTATGATGATAAACAACATCCGCGTCCTGGGTAAAACAATAAACTACATCCGCGTCCTGGGTATGACGATAAACTACATCCGCGTCCTGGGTATGACGATAAACTACGTCCGCGTCCTGGGTATGACGATAAACTACGTCCAACATCAAGGCTTCTGCTCGAAAGGTTTTGAGGAGCGTGGAACCACCTCTTAATTGCTGGCGTTCCCAGGTCCACCCTGACACGGGGGTGGTAGCACCTGTTAGGGTCCCAGTTAATACCGAAACTGAGGTAAAAAAAAACCTCATGAAAGTGTAAAAATAGGTTTTAATACCAGAAAGACTTTGTAAAAAAATTATTACCAGAAATAAATTTTTGAAGAAAAAAAAACTATTACGAGCAATACATGTTTTAAAATAATATTACTAGATATACATTTTTGAGGAAAAAAATATTACCAGAAATAGATTTTTGACAAAACTAAATATTACCAGGAAAAAAAGTTGTCGGCATTAAATAACTATTGGGATTGATAGGCCGTTGTTGTGGTCTGTTTAGGGGCCAGGAAGAAAGACACAGAAGACGAAGGTAGGTTGAACAAGTGTATTGAAAATAACAGATGCCTACATATAGACCCTATTTGGGTCTATATGTAGGCGTCGTTGTGTACAACACACGGCCAACATTTGGTGATAGGCTTAGATATGAACTCAACCATAAACTCAACCATATGAATAGAATCTATAGAATCAAGCATTAGCACGACAAAGCCAACCTATAGACTCAATTATAAACAAGATTAGTGTTTACTTATAGACTGAAGTACAAACATGAATAATGTTCACCATAGACTGAATAATAAAAACAAGCTACGGTAAGCTATTGACTAAAGTATAAACGCGATTACTATATACCGATGTACAAGTATAAACATGATCAACACGTATCTATAGACCCACGTATAAAAACTTTAGCGACACAAAAGGCGATTGCCTCACGTAATGACCGCTTAGTGACTTTACTGTGCAGTGACGAAAGTGGCAGTCAGTCAGTTAGCTTCCAGTAGTCAAACTCTTTAGTTGCCGTTTTTTAAATCGTAGCCCTCGGCCCAGGCTGAGGCTAAATATACCTCCCCCAATCACGTGGTGCAGCTTACAAGCTTATGGCGCCGTTTTCCTATGTATTTCCTATATATCCACCAAATATAGAAAATATACCCGGTTCGCAGTCCACATGCTGGGAAAAATCCAGGACTCACCGTTTCCCATTTGCGGAATATGTAATCGCTAGTGACATAGCAGATGAATCCGGCCTTCTCGAATCTGTAATCCTAAATTTGACTTATCCAGAAACACAGAAGAACATCCAGTAGATTCAATTCTCATGGAGAATTATTATACGTAAGATTCTCTTTTCGTTCTCTTCTCACACTACTTGTTGTTGCATATATGTGCTACATTTTCTCTGCGTCGGACACACGTGTAAATATGTATATATAATTTTGTGTGTGACTTAGCATTATAAAACTCTCTCTGGGTACAAAGCAGTCATTACTATTCTTTCGGCTATTCCATTCGGTCTGTGAACTATGGTGTTATTATATTGTGGATGTAATAGTGCCCATAATGGGGGAAAAGCATATGAGAGAATAAATCTTTCTTTCATGGCTCACACATTATCTGCGTAAACTTAACGTAACATGATATTATTTACCACCATTAACTGGTAATCACGACACGATATATTATTAACCTCCATTAACACAATCAATATTTACCTGTAGTCTCAAGTATAAACGCAATCAATACTTACCTGTTGTCTCACGTATAAGCACATTCAATGTCTTCGTATAGACTTAAGCAAATTTCGACGGTAATCAACGCAATATGTCGTAAAATCCAGCAACTTAACCCGAAGCGAACCCGAATATGACAGTAGACAAAGTTACACCCAAACAGAGATTAACTTCATGGAGTATCTGGGATGTGGAAGAGACTTTATATACAATTTTCTGCATATTTAATTTGTTTTGGGGGGACACTCCGTTTTAATCAGAGCTGCCACGAGTAATCAACCTTCCTCTGTTGCCCTCACACAAAAATTAATAATGACAATTCATCATCTCATTTGGTTTCATTTTAAAAACTGCCACTTTTTTCCTCGTTAATGGAAAGGCAAATAATTAAAAAAGAACTTAAATTGACAAAACTCATAAAATTCCTTGCTCAGGCTTTAGCAGAAATTAAATGTCTTGGTAATCAGCAATAAATTAGATAATAAATAAATAAATAAATAAAAAACGGATTTTGTCGGGCATTGATTAATGACCCCGATTGGGTTATTCTCTTTCTTCTAAAAGTTCTAGCATATATTACTTGGTCTAAAAATTAATTCATACTGCTAACCCTCCACCCCACCCCCCCAAAAAAAAGAAGAAATATCCGATTAC